TTCCTGTAGCGGAGCCAACGGAGTGCAGAGGGCTAAAATAAGCGACGATAAAGAATTTTCTGGAAATATTCTACGCGAGAGAAGCGATGCGTCTTTAGTGTCTAGTAATCGATGATCTTCGAAAGGGTAACCACCCCCTCTCTCTGAAGACTTTCTAAGATTAACCCTTTGCACTCGGGAGGTGACTCTCACCACTTGGTTTGCAGTAAAACTACAAAGTCTGATATTTCACGTTGAACTTTGCATAATGCATCGATACGTGAAATATTGAAATAAACTAGCTTGTTGCTCAATGTATTTGTGATTCTTAGAGTTAGTTCCAAATATCGTCTTTGTGTTGTCAAAAAATGTAAAACATTTCTAGCGAGAAATTTCCGAGTGCAAAGGGTTAAAGTACTCGAGCCAGCGAAGCACCCATAAAGTAACCGAGATAGTTATGCGTGTTATAATGGGTTTACGACACTAATGCCGCTGTAAAGCATCCGAGCTATTAGTATACATCTATAAAATACGCAAAACATCAGTTTATCTATGTAACAGGCACTCGCGCAGCCATGAAGCGAGTGGAGACACAAATCAACAGACAATAAATTTCAGGATCGCGAAACGTGATGAACATAACGAACTACGTCTTGCCACGTCGGTGCAGGTAAATAATTTCAAGAAGTGGAGAATATAACGAAAATGAATAGGATCAAAGAGAAAGAGGACTAGAGGAACATGATTCAAAAGTTCGAACCGATAGATAACGAAAATTATGCGGGAACTTAAAGCAACGCGGTTCATAGATAACTGGAGTACTGAATAGATACAGGTTCAACCGTGTCGTGGGAAGGCATGCGAAAACTCCGAGAGCTGAAACGCAGAAGCGTTTATCGCCGGAAGGCCAACGTTGCACAGCAGAATCGTTCCTTCTCGAACGCGTTCCTTTCATTATCATATTTCGGAACGGTGAATCGATCCCTGTACACTTTTAACCCTTTGCACTTGGGAGGTGACTCTCAGTCACTACTTGATTTCACCGAGCAAAATGATAAAATTTAAGATTCAATATTAAATTTTATATAATGTATCGACACATGCAACATCGAAATGAAATAGTTCTGTCACTGAATTTATGCAAGGTATTTCCTTGTGTTGCAAAAAATATTGATATTTCATCAGAGAATGAATATTCGTCAAGAAAAATATTCTCGAGTGAAAGGGTTAATATTAAACTTCGTGCAATGCAATTTTGGAAATATTCAAATAAAACAGCTTTGTCCCTCGATGGAGGTGTGATTTTTCTTCGAGTTAATTTCACAAAATATCGTCTTCATCTCATCGGCAATTAAAATATTTCTAGTGAAAAATTGCCGAGTGCAAAGGGTTAATTCGTCGATTGAGCCACTGCCAGTAATACTGTACATTGTTAACCAGTCAACCGTGGAATTTAGCTTCAATAATCTCTTATAAGCTACGTGAAAGTGTGTAAATTTATACGATGCATATTAAAACGAAAAGCGAAATGAAAGACAATGACACGTTTATTTGCAAATAAATAATTCATTATTGAGGAGGTTAGTATCCTTTTGGGTTTTAAGACGACCTGTACTCGTCGAACGGTTAACTAGTTGAATAGAGCAGAATGTCTTCTTTATAGTAATTTCGCGTGCAACGAAGGCCACAGACGTAGACATCATTTCAGCCGCAAACTTCCTGACCAAACTCGGCTGCGGTACACCATAGAACCTATCCGAAAGACGTGCTCCAAATTCTCCCAATCGGGAACACCGTTTTCGTTAGCGCTGAACGCTGAACCGTCGAATTGCGCAGTGGCCTGGCGCGTGGGCGATCGCTGTAATCTTCTTGGGGGATCGTAAAATTACTTTCCAACATAGACACCCGGTATCTTACACATCCTCCGTCGGAAATACAATTTTCCCTTATTCCCAATCAATCATTATCCCCTACTACATGATCTCGTTATAAGTTAGCTCTACCCATTAGTTTTGCCCAGAAGTCAATCGCCTTGAATTCAATTCAATCATTAATTTACTATTTATTGATTATCATGCTCTAAAGTAAACGTGAACATAGATCAATAGTTCTTCGATCCTAGCAAACTATTAGTGACCAAGTAATATTAGCGGACAATTATCAAAGATATAGGGCAAGTTTCATAAGAACTTCGTCTAAGAATTCCCATGAAGTATACCACGTATACTTTCGAAACATTGGCGTCTCCACGAAGACAAAGTATCTGCGTCATAGCCTAAGAACAAAGGTTCAACGCCAGTTTCGATCTACCCACAGTTCAAAAGATTGAACCGTTCAAGTTCGAGTCTGAGAAAAGTTCACATTTAACCTTAACTCCGTAGCCTCTCAGTCGCCACACGATTTGGTACGGAATGAAGTATAATTAATGTTAACACATTGCGTACCGGCTAATTTTCAGAAAACTGAATTGTGATGACAATTTTCAGTGAGATCAACTTATATCGCTATACATACAAAAACTCAGATATCATATCGTTATATAATGTATTTTAAATAGGTAATCAATTTGAATCAAATTTCATATTTTTCTAAGTACTAATTAGCGAAATTGCACAGCTAAGTGTCTTTATCTGAAAACGAGATTTCTCGTTGTCAGTACGCAATGTGTTAATACGTTGAGCGTTATGGGGTCACTGGTGACCGCCAAAATTCCCTCAATCACACGAAGCTTCTTAAAAAACATTCCTATATTGTAAATATCGTTACATAATGCGCTGATATTCAGCAAGACACTTGCGATAACAACGCAATTCAATTAAACAATTTGATACTGTATTCCTTTGATATTCTGCACCTGAAAATCGTGCGGCATTCGTGTTAAGTTTCGTACGATGCAATATGTAAAATACTCAAATAAAACAGCTCGTTCCTTCAATCTACGTACGATATCTCATTAAGTTAGTCTCAACAAATCTGAACTACACCTCCTCAGAAGTACTGAGTATTCTCAGTAAAACTCTCGGAGTGCGATGGGTTAAAGAAACGCTGAATACGAACACGTTCCATTTCAAGTAATAAAGAAAGCAAAACTGAGCGGTTAAACGTAAGTGCGTAAACTTAATTCGACTCTACGAACCGATAGGCTGGCTCTTTTAGGCAGTGTCGCGCTGCCTGGTACTCAAGCGGTTAATTCGCGATAGCTCAGTGGCTCCTCGATCGCCTTTTTTCGGCGATTTGATTCGCCGATACCGTGTTCCGCGGCACGTCGAGCCGGTCAGTGGAGAATCAACAATGCAAGTGTAATATATCGCGGCGCGTACCAGCACGGAACAACACGGTTCCGGGACGGACAGCTATAATTCGATGACTGGGTTGGTTCGAGGTGAACGAACCGCGCGGTGCACACGCGACCCAGCCGGCCAGCGGACGGGTCGGCGGGTGTTGAAAAAGCGAGGAAAAACGAGGAAACGAAAAAAGAAGAGTGTCTCTGCTGAAAACTCACCGGTGCTACGCGACGTGCGGGCTGTGTCAACTGCGCAGTTGACGGGCTCAGAACGCAGCGTTCAGGGACGTGGTGCCGCGGTACCGGTGCCCGAACAGTGGGACCGGTAGCGCTGAACAACCGCGGCGGCACCTGACGGTGAACCGCGGGAACTAGCGCGATCAAGCACCTGATCGAGCGGTTCGAAGTGCGCGTACTTTTTGTCCCGTTTGTTCATTGATTTCTATGCGCGAGTGGTGACTGGTGGTTGATACGAATGTTTGGTTGCGTTCCGGTGATATTAACAATTTTTATTGTTTCGGCAGAGACTCTGGAGGTATGTATATTGTTTTTACTGTTGGAGGTAGCTTGGGATCTTGTATTGTTTGAATTTAATTAACGAGTTAAATGAGACTGATATAAATATTTATTTATCGTGTACTTCTAGTTAGTGCATGACTGAAGATGATACTCTTTTGGGTGTTTCTGTGTTAATCTCGGTAGGCGAGTTAACCCTTTGCCTTGGAATAGTAAACATTTTAAACGGAATTTAAACTGTTACTCAGTTCTTGGGGATTCTAATGAAATATTCTGTTATACTATATTGCACGCAAACGTAGATATAGAATATGAATAAAATTTGTCTAATAAACTATTGCTGAGGAAGTTGTATTGATCATAAGAAACAGATAAATCATAGAGTTGTACTGATCATAAGAGAAAAATAAATCATAGGGTTATATAATTTTCAAACTATAACAAATAACCATTGAATCGCGTATTCAATGGTATTAATCATATAACAGCGTTGCTTATCAACGCTCAACATCGAATAATGTTTTACCAAAGCAAGCTCCCGCAGAGTCCGTGCCTGACGATCATGTGATCGCGCATGGAGATGCCAGCGTCTTCGCGCGGCGATCGACGGAACTAGAGTTAAAACCGCGTGGCGCTATCAACCGTGAAACACGCGAAACTGCTCGGAAAACAACAGCGACATCGGACGACACGAACCGACTATACGAACAGCACGTTAACAACGCTCGGAGAGAGGCGAAAACAGCTACCCTGTTGGTCCGTGACGTTCCCCACCCCCACCAT